ATTTCTGGACAAAAATAGAAATCGGTTCAAGGGTAGACTTCGCGTATGTCTCACGTACCATTAATCTCATTTGCGATATTAGCATTTTCCCCTAACTTGTTACGATCCAAAATAGCCACAGCTAATCGAGCGTATTTGTACTGATCGGGTACTATCTTGAAAAGCTCCGGAAAGTGATATGAATACCTGAAATCACGCGATCAATTAAATTTTATACTGTCACAGCCTGCCCGGATTGAAAGCTATAAATGCAATGTTTGAAGCGACCGATGATCTCCATTATCACCATTCAAAGTAATAGAGTTATGATAAAGTGTTACCATACTGAGTTCCAAAACCAAAAATTATTGCGCCTACCACTCTCTGATGCGCATTCCGAAAAGGTTGATATCCTTATCTAATTGATCCAGAAGTGCAATAGACTGTATGACCATATTATCGACACGATGAACATCAAACTTCACCTAAAAAGATGAAGATACTAAAATTGGCACGACATCGCAGTATTCGGAAAATTTTGTCTGGTACGCTGATCACTGAGCGGCCATTTTGAACGGCTGCAAACACATTAACTTTCTCCAAAAAGATTCTCAGACATGCTTTTCGGAATCAAATATTGGTAGCTCGCTTTTTCGTGATTAGCACCTTACTCCTCAATCGCCAAAAAATTCGACGCGCAAACCAGGTACTAAAAAAGTAATCAGCGTAATGAATTCGCCTACACAACATGGATTCATCTATGTACCACTCATAAAGTAATCCCAAATGGCTGACCAGCGTAGCATATATTTCTGTACATGTGCAGCAAATCCCTTTTTAGCTTTCAGGTTAGCTAAGTGGTACAGTACTTCAAAGGTAATTGTAAAAACATTCATCATGGTGTGAACTGCTGCAGGGCTTTGCTCCACGCACATGAGATTCAAGCAACCTTCTAGGCATGAGTTATGAACCAAGTGAAAACAGCCCCTAACGTAGTTGATTGTAATTTATGAAATTTGCGTTGTTAATGTATCGACAGAAAGAGCTATGGAATTTCCACAAAAATACTAAGCTTAGCTGAATGGGGCAAAACGAAGAGAAAAATACAAAAGATAGCGTACCTTCCCACGAGAATAACTATGACCAAGCGACAATTGTGCCTTGGCCAATGAATGATGCGGAAGATCCTTAGCAAGATGAGCAAAGTGTACGCGCACTCCACGTAAGATCTAAAAATGTCTTCTTTCGAGGAGGTTGTTCTCGTCATTGGTATGAAAGTATCTGTGCTCACACACCTCGGTAACAACACCTCCAAATACAAGCTGCACGCCGAGGTTCGCTTCAGTTAACGAACCCGCCAGCTTTGAATCATTTACACCCAAGATCAGCTTTTTCTTCTTATGAGGGAGACTACTTTCGAGAAAATTGAGTAGATCCGCATGAGCCAAACCTGCACAATAACAACAGGAATAAGACAAGACAGATAGACGTAACAACAACCAAAACGATAAGGCGAAGATACCTTCAGAGATAGCATTGGCATTTTCAAGAGCTGCCTCTGTATTCTTGAAAGGATCAAAAGCAGCTAGCTTCACGATCCCACAAAATTTAGACACATCGGCGATAGAAGCATCAACCTAAAATGAGACTGTGGTAATCAGGTATATTCAATAACTTTTAAATCGATCAGATTGGC